AAAAAAAAAAAGTCCTTTTAGGGTTGTTTTCCCAGAGGGGCTTGCAGGGGAGAAGAGCAGGGGGGCGAGAGCAGCCAGGAGGGCACGGCTGTAGCTCGGGGTCGGTGTGTGCGCGGGGCTGCGCGTGCGAGCCGCTTGGCTGCAGCCCGGAGTGGGGCCGGTGCGGGCTCGTCCACACGCCGGTGTCAGCTCCGGCTCCTCACACGTGCCAGGCGGGCAGCTGCAGCCTCCGCGCCATGGCTGGCCGGGAGTGCGCGCACACACACACGTATACATATATATATATATATATATGTATGTGTATATATGTGTGTATATATATATATGCATGCACACACGTATGTATATGTATATACACAGGCACATAGGTATGTAGAGATACGTATATATATACACACACAGGCACATAGATAGATACAGAGAGAGAGAGAGAGATGCGGGCTCTTTGGCAGGCCCGGGTCGGGGCCTGGGCAGGGGAGGCGCATTTTGCGTGTGCCGAGGGTCCCCGGGGGGCTCCGGGCTGCGCAGCCGGGAGGGGGACAGGGACTTGCGGGCAGGACCCCTCCTCCTCGCTGAGTGCGGGGCTGCGGCCGGCGCCGGCCTGCCCTGCCGGGAGCCTCAGTCGAACAATTATTTCCGAGGATCAGCAGCTTTTCTCCGAGGGCTTTCCCCTCACCCCCCCGCCCCCCTCCCTTTCGGCAGAGAGTGGAAGTGCGGTCGCTCTGATCTAGCCCCGATATTAGTGACTCTGCCGCTTCCTGCAGGCGCTCACCCGGGCTGGACCCCGGCAGTGCCCGGAGCCCCCGGCTGCCCCTGGCCGTCCCCGCCGCCGGGCTCCCCCTTGCTGCTTTCTCCCCCGGGAGTGGATCGGGGCAAGGCACCTCCACCTCGGGGCGCCGGGGACAGCCCGTGTTTAAAATCCCACTCCCAAATAAAATCGTACGTAGCTGGGTCCGGATTGAATAGCTCCGGGGTTTGGGGGAGCCGGTGTGTGTGCGCGGGCGCCTGGGTCACTCGCTTCTGCTGAGCACCGCCTTGCAGGGCGCTTGGCCCCGCTGCCGGCCCGGGGAGGGCATGGAGACGTGTGGGGAGGGGAGAGGGGGTCCCGGTGAAAGGCGCAAGGATCCTCTCCTTCAGGGCCCGGCTCCTTTAGGGTCCAGTCCTGCCAGGCCGGGCCTCTGCCAGGGCCATGGGAGCTGCTGGGGAGAGGGAGGGCCGGGAGGAAGGAGGGAGGGGGGTCCGTGCTGGCGCAAAGGAGCTGGGGCAGGAGAGAG